AGCCAAGAAGTCAGAAAGTGGTGTACTGTTGATACTTGGCTTCTTGCTTGCAGGAGGCACTGGGAGTTTATTGCTATCAATCAAGTCTTAGATAGCTTCCTTGAGTTTCCAGCAATTCTCAGTAAGATGGCCCCTACCTTGATGGTATTTTCATTGTGCATTGGGTTTCCAATTAGTCGTTCTCCTTTCGACTGGTGGATCCTTGAATGGTCCAATAGGAGTTATAAGACCTTTTACATGAAGACAGTTAAATGCGGTGTCATAACTCATACCAATAGGAGTAAAGTTTCTCCTAAATAGTTTCTTTTGTCCTTTATTGTTCATGGAGAGGACTTCATTCAAATTAAAGGTGCTAACATTATTTGAGTGGTTGGTTTTGGAAGAAAAAGGGTTGTCGTTCTTCTTTCCTTTCTAGCCACTGTTGGAGTTAGTGTTAGAAGCTTTTTCCTTTGCAAGGTCGTCTTCAATATTAATTCCAATGTCATAAACGGCCTTGAAAGTATTCAAGTTTCTTTGCTACTTGAGATGTTTGGAATACTTTTCCTAGAGATTTGGTTTTTAGGGAAACACAATTAGGTGTCTACAGTTGCCCCCACATTGACTGAGTTTGGAGAAACGCCTGTTTTGAAAACAAAAGTCAAAGTAGCGATAGGGATGGAGAATGATTCAGAACGTTCTGCGATCCTAAATCATTCTTGTAACGCCGATACCTACAACCTAGCGTTAGTTAAACAGATAAAAGAGTTAAGAAACGCGTATCTTGCACCGTCAAGTACACGTCTCTGGGTAACCGTTTTTGTTTGATGACCTCCACAAGATAGGGGACATTGCCTGAAGACTGATCCGCTTGTATCAGCCTTCCATTTCTGTTATGATAGTCCTCCAAATCTTAGGGAACATCATCAAAGATTGCTCCGCTTGTAGCAATCTTCTGCCATTTTGTGACCATCTTCCACATCCTAGGGAACACGATCGAAGACAACTCCGCTTGTTGTCATCTCCCGATTTTTGAAAATATTCCACATCCTAGGGAACATCGTCGAAGATCACTCCGCTTATAGCAATCTCCTGCTTTTTTGTGACAATCATCCTAGGAAAATTATCGAAGATCACCGGTTAATCCTCAGTTTGCTGGTGCTTTGCTGGAATTTTTGCTATGTTTTTGCTTGTAATTTGCTAGGCGTTTGATGTTTGTGCTTTCTTTATGAACCAATATCTTGGTGCTTGCGATGAGCCAATGTTTAGACGCTTAAGCTAAGTGAGACGATAATCATCAGGTCTATCACTTCTTGCGATTGTAATCGAGCCTACTACTAGTCATGTCAATTTTCTTATAGGGCTTAACTTGATTACCAAGGAACCCAAAATTTCTAAACAAGGTCCACTTAAACCAATATGGGGCCACAAATTGTGTCGCTGAAGAAAGGGAGCCAGCTCACGATGCTATGTATTGTCACGGCGCGCCAGGCTTGTCGTAACACGACTGATCTATCGCCCCCCTGTCGTGGTGCGACGAAGTCGAGTTTTCCGGATTTAAACTCCTTCTCCCTCCTCATTTTTCTGCTGCTCAATTTCCATTCGGCGTTCGCTCTAAGCTTCAAATCGTCCGTTTTTGCTCATTTCTCAACAAAATTCGCTCAAAATTCTTGCAAATCAAAGCTCTTTATCTCTAGTTTGCCAATCAATGTAAGATTTGCTCAAATTCAACTCGAATTTGACGATTTTTACTCATGTTTACTCACGATTTTTCGAAAAAAACGAGAACGTTCTTGCTTTGTTTGCTTTGTTTATTGAACTTTATGCCATGAAATTGTTTGTTTATGCTTGTATATCAGCTTAGGAGTGGTTTGAGACTTGTTTAACTCAATTTGGTGAAGAAAGAATGTTTGTTAGGCTCTTTGAGTTTGTGAGAATAATGTGGCTCGTTCTTTATGTTTTTGCTAGCTATTCATGCTCAATTTGTCACAATATTTTTCCTAGTATTGCAAGAAAATGTGTGATTGCTTGAAAATGATATTTTTGCTTGAAAAAAACATGCTCTGTTTTAAAATTACATACTCTGTTTTGACAAACACAGTATCATGCGGTTAGGCAAACTTTAAATACTATGAAACCTTTGATTCAAAGTTTGCTTGCATAATTAGCATGTCTCGACGACGCGGTTTCGGCTCACGCTCTCGTAGGGCTCATCGAAAGGACGAGCCTATTGACGCCGGCGAGGGTACTTCTACTAGTCTTGGGGAGTTCCTTGAGTGGGATGGGTGTACCCTGTACTTTGTGCCCCCGTTTCACATCTTAGAGCGGGTTTGGCTCGGGATGACCGACGAGCGAGTTTGTTGCCATGGTTCGGGAAACAAAACCATCGGGCAGCTGTATGATTCTTATTATCACAACAACGAGGAGTTGCACGGGCTATGGGAGTTTTGTGGTTTGAATCCATTGTTGCAGGCCACTCGGGCTCTCTATTCTTTGACCTCGAGTCGTTTCCTAGTTCGAGCCTTGGTGGAGTTCTTTTGGGACACCACCAACACTTTTCACTTTCCTTGAAATGAGATGATTTTCATTCCCGTTAACTTTTCTATCATCACCGGACTAGAGTTCCGATCAGCTGAAGTTCCATTGGGCAGCGATATCACTTTTTTCTCTCCCGAGGTAGAGGAGTTAATTGGTCATATCGTTGTTCAAGGTTGCGGTGAGGCTAAGCCGTTACAGATTTGTAACCGATATATTCGTCGGACTATGCTTATAGAGGCTTTTCGAGATGATGTGTAACACCCTAGAAATTTCTTTCCTTTTTTAAATACCTTTTTTTGCTCTTTTTTAAAAAAACTCAAAATAAGAAAATCTAAGATGTTACCGCCACCGTGAAAACGGCTAAGGAAATTATCAAAGACACATAGCAGAAGACTATCTTTAAAATCATTCAAAACAAGTTAACTTAGAAAGTAAACCCAACAAAAGTAAAGTCAAACCAAAGTCAAACGAAGTCAACCTACAACTTGGAACCATTGTAGGCCTGTAAAATAAAACTTAAAACCTTTGCGTTAGTCTCACTAGCATAATATAATATAATACATAAACAATATTCAAAGCAATAAAACACATCATATTCCTATGAAAACTAAGCATGCTTCGCTCTTCACTCATGCCCATCATGAAAATGCTTCCATCACCTGAAAAGTTCCTCTTTACTTGTCCCCAGTACTATTCTCCATTAGAAATGAGTCTTTGTAGGGCCAAAGTAAAGATAAGGCCAAACAAACATACAAACACACAATCAGCAATGCTAAGTACATAAGCGTAAATAAAACACACTAACATGCTTTCACTCTATCATCACACAACTTACCTTGTTGCATCTGTTTACAAACACACAACATACGACATAACCATTTAATAAATAACTAATTTATTTATTTAGCTTAATTACACATCGAACGGGTTTCCCCCCTAACCTGCCCTAATAAAGGGGTACTAACACGGGAGCTAACCGTGCCAGTATAAAAGAACCATATGTAAGTGGCAAAATTCCTGCGTATAATAAAATGGAAAGTACAGCTTCCTATACCCCATTAGAAGTCATGGTTAAATATAAAACCCCATAACTCCCCCCATATGTTCATACTCAAGGTATATACATTCCAAGAGTTTTGGTACGTAATCTCTTTCACTTTATGTTATTTACATATTATTAGACTTGGTGATGACTCTCAAACAATAATCATTCAATCATAATAATAATTCAAACAATTAAACATATCCATTTTATTCTTGAATAATTAGTGACCACATAATATTCAATGTTGAACCCTTTTAAATCTATCTCGGTGTCAAAGACACCTTAAACGCATAATGCGCCACAAATCCTATCCCTCGGTGTTAGTAACACCTTAAGTGCACTAAGGCACCAAAATATAATTTATTCCTCGTGTACAATAACACTTAAATAGCTCCTTCCTTATGCTTATAGCATCAATAAAAATTATATAAACCATAATAAAATTACTTTTTAACCCAAGCCAAATTAAACATTTAGTTTAATTAAATAAACCTTCAAACGTGCCAATAATAAAAATATAGTTCAATGACAATATTCCAATATCACCAATTCCAATAAATAATTTATTTCAACCAATAATGCTCTACAAATAATTCACCAAAACCATTCTCAATTTGATCAATCCAATTCAAATCACCAAATCTCATTTCAATTCAACCATTCCAATTAATTCCTAGCATGACACTAACTTGGAATCAATTAAGTAAATCATGTTTCTACTACACGCTTAATAAATTTATGAGTACGTGTAAGTACCTCAAATAAGCTCTTAAAGTAGCTGAAGACACAACAATAAATTCCATAACCAAGTCTCCTACATAAAGGGACAATAACACTATATTACTTCTCCTTGTATACACAGTTTCAAGCAACTTAAAATCACTTTAAACAACTAATAATAATCTGAAAATTATTTAAAAACCCCTAAGTAACTTCTCTTTTAATGGGTGATTAAACCCTTTTTTATAAAATCATCAAAACCAACACTAGGGTCGATTTCTAGCACTAATACTAAACAAAAACCTCTTTAACTCCATTAAATTATACAATTTATGCCCAATAATGATTGGAAACATGAAACACATAAAAACCCCCAATTCAATCTATCATAGAACCCTAAAATCACATTCTTGATGAATTAAAACCCCAATGTATGACACCTTAACCCAAAATCTGAAATTTTAAAACCAATTATAATCTAAAAATTAGTTTTGAATCATTAAAAACATAATTTGATACTAATTAAATAAGTTTCAATAATAAAAATCCAAAACCACTACTAATATATATAATTTTACAAATTAAAGAAATCTTTACCCTTATAAAAACCAGAAGTTGTGTTACTATTTGAAATCTACAGTGTGCTTCCGTTTATACCCTCAAGCTATTTTTTTACTTTCGAAATTGCCCTTCATGCTTGACTTCAGCACTTTGTCTCCTTAGTCTTGTTTCAGTCTTGCTTTATCCCCTTTTCATGCTCCACCATTCAATTCTTCGATTTGCTTTCTCTCTCCTTTGAACCAGTCTTTCTCAATATCACTCCATTAGATGGAGTACATTTTTCCTTTCTCACTTTATTTTCTCTCTCTTTGCTTCAACATGAAAGACCTCATCACCAAGCATAGAGATTTCAATATCACTCCACCACCACCATCATCACAACTACCGTCATATTTTATCTCCACTCTTCGCCGCCGACCTCACTTCAATGGTGCGGTGGAGTTTGATCAAGCATTCATGGAAAAAGCTTTTGAATGGTTAATGTCAAATAACTCAGTTGCAGTTACGTCATCAAATAAAATGTTGTTATTCTTTGGGATCCCTAATTATTTGTTATAATGAATTAGGATTCAGGGCAATGCCCAATTTCATCTAATGGATCCTTCAATCATATACTCTTAGATTAATTTCTTAGCAATTCCCAATTTCTTCTTTTATGTAGTTAGGATCGGTTCATCCTATTTTATTTCCATTTTTCACAAACTCTTCGACTCTCCATTGTAGCGGCTTCTAATGAAGGTATGGTTCTTTAATTATTTTGTTGAATTATAAAGTTTTTAGCTTACTTTCAGGATTTGTGAAGGGTTTTTTTTTTTTATTACATTTATCAAGATCTAATGAAATTTATTTGATTTTATATGTTTTTACGTTTTAGCTTACATTCGTTAAAAGCTGATGATTCTTTTTTTATTTTTTTGGATTTAAAGGGAGCTCAAGGATCTATTAATGAAGACGATCGTTCTGCATTTGATTAAAGGTAAAAAAAAAATTATATCCTTGTATCTTTCTACATAAAATCATTTGAATATTTTTTCTTCAATCAGAGTATGTCGTTTTACATGTTACGCTGATTCAATTTTAGGATTCAGATAATTAAACATTTCTGGATTGTATAGGTAGAAACACAAATGATGGCATACATGCTTTGATTACCATTGATATATAATTTAATCTGATTAGATTTTATCCTGTAATGAAAGCTATCATTTTCTCTTGTTCTGTTTGTAGGTATGCTGAGTTTTATCACAATAATTAGAGATGAGTTCTTTTATCTTGCTTAGGTTCATAAATTTTCCTACACTAGTGATTGCTTTTTCTACTCATGGTTTAGACTTTTTTTTAATATGCTTGGTTGCTGCTTTTGAAAGTCACCAATAAATTAGAGGACAAAATAATTGATGATATAGTCTCATAATGCAGAGAGTTAGGGTAGTGGGTCTCCGAAATTCTGAATCCATATGCTTGTTTATAAATATGATCAGATGATCCTTATGCATTCAATTAAAGGTAGAAAATTATATCCTTGTATCTTTCTACATAAAATAATGCTATTTGTTTTTACTCTGATGTCGGTTATTCATACCTTTGTTAGGTTAGAATAACTGTGTTGAAATCAGAGGGGTGGATTGGAAAAGCTTATGGAGAATCGTAGCCTTCTGTTCACTCGATTAAGGTACAATTTTTTTGCTTTTTTTCCCCCCTATAATTTGGGATATAATGTGAGATTCATTGGGTTATATGTGTGGGATGAACTAGGTTATTTTTCATGGCTAAAAAAAGAGATTCTTGGGATTGAAAAAAATACTACTCCTATTGAAATCAATTACTCTGATATGTTGTTCATAATTTTCCTAAATTAGTCTATGGTTAATCTAGCTATTGTGATTATTGTTAAATTCAATTTTATATTAGGGTACCTTAAAATATTAGAACTTACGTTATTTTCAACTTTCGCCCCTACTTTTACATGGTTTGATTGAGCTTTAAAGGGTCATCTTTATACAAACTTTAATTTTTTTAGGTTGTTGATTATGATTTATGACCTTAAATTTTTTTTTAGGTATTCAATTTTCAGCTCATTTTTTTTGTTGGGTGATCGATTTTCAATTCAATAATTTTGGTCTGTGTAACTGGGTCATCGCATTTTTTGCTTAGATTTTTCTAGGTTGCTAATTTTTACTTGGATTTTGTCTTGGTGGTCTCTGAGTCTTAATATAGCTTAGTTTTATCAAGGTTGTCAATTTTGGGCTTGAATTTTTCCGGATTATCGATTTTAAGCTGGAAATTTTTTAGGTTTTCATAAAAGAGGAGATGTTTGGGGAAAAGGTTTTTGAAACAGGAATATCTGTTGAGAGAGAAAAAGAACGGGGGTGGGGGAGTGAATTCATCAATTGCTGCTAAATTTTCATTTTTTTTCTGTCAGCTCTAATGTATACACGGTGATCTCTGATGAAATTCTGGTGGCGAGAAATTATTGTCAATTCCTGGCATTGATGTTTTAAAGCTCCAAATTCAAAGGGGGAACGAGCTGTAGCTATGTATGTAAACGCTAAAGCCTCATCTACTTTGCTTTATCATCATGGCAGTGTCGGCGATTTAGGTCCGATGTTTGAGCTTTTTGTGGAGCTTAGCAGTCATCTTCGTGTTAATCTTATGGGTAAATTTCTAAATTTTTCTAATCTATGATATGCTTTAGCTTTCAAGGGTTATTAAATTTTTTTTATTTATATTTGTTTGCCCCATAAAGTATGAAATTTTATACCTCATGATAGACAATTTTCAAGTCCTTATGAGTAGATGGTAAACAAGTCCTTTAGGGTTTTGGTTAATTTGGTATACATTAGGGGCATAGATAGCAAGATTAGGAAAGTCATGAACTGTACGAATCTAGGGTTTTGGATTTGGAGTGTATCTTGAATTTGGAACTTGTATAACAAGTTTGAGTGTAATTAAGAAGCACAAGTTATAAAAAGAAGTTAAAAATATAAATTTTAAATTTTGATCCTCTTCTCATGAATAATGCTGTGGTAGAAGTTAGGCCTGTTGGTTTGATTTTACTTTGATTTTTACTGAACATCTTATTGCTTTTACAGAGGAAGGTCAAGTAATTTTCCGTCAGATCCAAGATCTGTAGGTCAGGGGATTGTAAAGGTTGAATATGAGAGAAGCTCACTGGAAATGAAGAACTTTGAGATGATCTCGAGAAGATACAAATTCAATTTTTTAGGTAAATTTATTTAATACTTATACTGGGGTAAATTTATTTAAAATATTAGTACTGAAGATACCAAACCAACGGTAGGCCATGCTCACCATCATCATCAATCCCGAATCTCAATAAAATCAACGGTGGAGGGAGAAATTGTTGAAAACGGTATAGAATTGATGATTGGCGGTAATTGGTGGGCGTTGGCTGTGATTTGGTGCGCAATTGAAGAATTGGTGATGTGGGGTTGTTCTGTTTGGTGCAAGGAGATGGAGCAGCAGCAGGGCACCAAGGTTGCTGGTGGCTGCTGTTTGTGAGGGAGAAGGGAGTTGTGGTTGGGTGAGGTGGAGGATTCTGGCTCGTTGGTGGGGTGTGTGGGTGCGGAAGTTTTTGGTGGTGAGGATTGGTTACGGTGGTCGGAAATTGGTGGAATCAGGGCTGTAGAAGGGTAGGGGTGGAATAGAGACTGGTTGGTGGGTTGTGTGGGAGGTTTGGCCTGTTGGGTGAGGGGGAGGTTGGCAGCAATAGTCAAGAAGGGGAGGGGCGGTTCTGGTGGTGGGATGGGACTGGAGTGGTATAGTGGTGGTGGGGATTGAGAGAGGGGTGGAGCAGTGGTGGTGTTTGGGGAAGGAGAGACAAAAGAACAAAAATTGTTTAAGGACGGAGCATTAGGATCGTGGAGAAGAGTAGGGTCGAGGATTTGGGGGTTAGCGAGTAGGTAAGCTCGGGGTGGGGGAGGTGGGCTGGTCACCAGCAACTAATTGGCACTTCTTTTCATCAATGGCACTTCTCAGCACTATACTGGTGGATTTTTTGCATAAGATTTTAATTTTATGTTTTGTTAAATTTGAATTTGAAGGGTATATTTAATTTGGATTTTTTTCGGAAATTTGTAAGATGTGGTTTTGGATTAGGGAGGAGATACTGACTTGGGCAAGGAAGAAGACGGGTGAGCCTATTGTTAGATTGAATTCAGTTGCTGAAGCTGAGGCATTTGCTAAGAAATACAGTATGTATGTTGTTGGGTTGTTTCAGAATTTTGAGGTATTTTCTGTTCTGTAAAATTTTCCAATTATGTAGTTTTAGTCTTTGGTTCGGAGAATTTCGATGTATTATCATCGGCATTGGCAAATCTCTGTTATCTGTAATATGTTTTTCTGAGTTTGTATGCGTTGGTGTTGTTTATCTTGTGCTTACTGCAGTTGATTGACAAGGAAGTCGATAACTTTTGTTTCAATGGTGTAATGTGGTGTGAGACTGCAACTTAGTAGTGTGATCTGCTGAATTATACTCCATAGTAGATATGATTGGATGTTTGATATGTTCTGATAAATAAGGAGTATTATAAAGTGAATAGGATTGATATAATTAGGCAAGTGTGCACCTGCTTATGCATTTTCCTTGTGATGCCATAGAATCTCAATGACATATCATCGGTGCTATGAAATTACTCTCTTATAGCTCAAGTGCACTGTGATGTTTGATTATCTTGATATTTATGTTGATGTTTGATTATCTAGATATTTATGTTAGCATTACAGGGTACTCGTAACTAATAAGACCAACATCAATGCTTACAATCTGGTATCATCTTTTGAAGAGCATAATGACTCGTGAATCGGCAATCTGGCTTGCACCTTTCTAGCTGCAGTTTTTGTTACATTATTGACATCACCTCTTTTATACAAATGTGTAGTTTTAAATTTATGCGTTATTAAGGTTAAATTTATTCAGTATAAATAGCTTATTCTTGCTTCTATTTTTTTAGCTTTGTGATTTCAAATTTGCACGTGCCATGTCAAAAAAGACTGTTTTTCTTCACTCTGTCTAAGGTCGGGCTTATCTGCTGCTATTTGCCTCTTATACGCTGCAGACACCATAGCAAATAGTTTTATTAGAACAACTTTCTGGTATGAAAAGTGGCAAAACAACTTTCTGGTATGATAGGTATGAATGTTTTGGGTTTTGTCAATTTCTCATTACTATATTCGTAGTTTAATTCATCGTCTTCTCTTTAAATTGGTTGATTTTTGTGTTTTCTTTTTGCTTGAAATGCAGTTTTTTTTCTTAAAATATGGTGGATAATGCATGTACTGAGCACCCATTATTTGGTGGGGCAATATCAATGACCTTTCCTGATAGATTCTTGATTTTACATGCCAAATTTCCCAATTTCTTGCTTTTTATTTAAGTTATATTTGTGGGAAATTAACAATATTTTGAATTTTTGTTTTATGTGCAAATTTTAATTATATTTATAGGATTTGAGCAATGTACGGGAAGTCCCTGATCATCACGTTGAATTTTTTTTTTTTTTAAGAGGTTGTAAATTATTTGTAATGATGGGTTTTGTGGGTAATTACTAATTAATGGAAGGGTCAATGTGGTTTTTGTTTTTGTGTGTATAGGAAGCGTTTGCTAACCCTAATCAAGAAGGTAGTGTTGTTTGGTTCCTACAAGAACTTGCTAGGGAACAGGATGCTGAAGGCGGTATGGTGAGTTTGTCAAGTTTTGTTTCGTTTAATTTCTTTTATGTTGGGTAACGTTCAATTATGTTGTTGCTATTTGATTAATTGTGACAGGGTGTTAAATTTGATAATTGACCTATAATGGACTTTATTGTTGATAAATGTGAATTAAGATTAAGGGATGAGAGAAAATTCCTCTGATAAATAATATCTATTCATGAAAGATTTAGTGACTTTCAAAGCAATAAATGTATGATGAAGACCTAATGATGCTAGATATGTCACTTGAACTTATGAAGTAGGCAAGGAAGATCATTTGAAGTTTTGAACGTGGCAGCTTAGTTGTCCAGAATTCAAAGTTGTATATTGCAACGGATTTAAAATATGACCTGTCTTTAACATTGAAGCCACTTTTAGAATGACAAAGTTGATCATCAACATCTTTTGTTAGGGTGAAACAGGTATTTAAACTACATATCATCATATCACCAACAGTTGTGGTTCATATTCTTGACTGTTTTTTTTAGCTAAATCAAGTGACTTGATGTCTTTTTACAGGTTTGTGCTAATGCGTTGAGTTTTTGAAAGAATTGATGATGATGGACTACAGTGGTATCTTCTGCAGTTAGTCCTGGCCCTTCATTTTGAGCACTCAGGTAGATCACACCTATTTCATTTCCTTGATTAAACATTGACAAGAGATTCAGCCTATGAAAAATTAAATAAATTGAATAATTGAAATCTATGAGTAATTTATGTTTGTATGATTTTTTTTTAAGAAGATTGTTATAATTTTTTCTGTTTTTTTTCATCATCTTTTTCGGAATCAATATTTTAGTCTACTCTCGAAATTGAAAGGCTTGTTTCCAATTTTTCTTTTCTTTTTGAATATGGGTTTTTGATTTGAAATTCTGAGTTTTTACCCTCTTTGATTCTATCTCTGTCCCTATAATTTGTAAGGGGCTATGTCATTTATTTACTCCTTTTATTATTGGGCTTAGAAAGTTAGTTTAGCTGTACTGCGCTGATTATCTATTTTCGCTATTGCTCTCTTGGAGTTTGAAACTAGCATGCTTCATGTCCAGTCTTTTCCGTTAATCCAAGTAAGTGTCAGGTTAATTTGCTTAATCTGCAATGTTCCTGTTAAATTATTAAATAAAGTGGCACTCTGATAGGCTCTATTCTCTGATTTTAGTTGACAATTGCTTCTGTTTGGTTTTCTTCAAATTAATGGTCTTAACTTGCTCCAAAATCTGACTATGGTCTATATACTAAAAGGGAGGTGTAAGAAGTTACATGCTTCTAATTAGTGATTGTTTGGGCTGAAATTTTGCAGGATGGACTTTGTTCAGCTGATCTATCATGTGACCAAGTAAGCACTTGATCCCCTTGCTATGGTGGCTCGACAAACAACAGTTCTCTTCGGAAGCTCTTTATAGGTATGATATGCGATTTCAACATCGTCCTATTGAGTTTGTCAAAGAGGTATGCTACATTTTGTTTGTAAATATTTCTTAATCAATTGAACTCATGCAACTACTCTAATATGTTTGAAAATCCCATAGTTAATTACAATAATATTGCCTACTTCTATTTCTTTGGGCCTTGCTGTAATGTGTCTATGCTGCCTATTAAGTCTTTTTTATGTAAATGTATTAACTACTATAACAAAAGAAAGTGAATACCAGGTGTAATTTAAAGAACTAATACTTAATTACTACTACTATTTTTTTTTTAAATGTGAATGCCTCCATTTTAGTCGCCCAAACCTTGGAAGTGGTACTCATGAATCAAATTTATTTTGTCCTTTGTTCATCTTGTGCTTTAAGTTGAAGTTATGAGTCTTTTAGTTCATAACATTTTGACTAAAAAGAGATTATGGATTGATTTGCTTTATTCTTTAACCTTTACAATTAACATGCTTTAAGATGTCAGATGTGTGTAGTTTAATTTGAGGCAATTTGGGTATTTAAGATTGTATCATAGCAATTTGTGTGTATATGAAGGCTATTAGCTTAATTGGTGAAGCATTATGCTATCGTGAATAAGATGTGGGTTCAACACCTTATGCACGATTTATTTAGTATGTAAACTGTTTAGAGGATCATCTTTAGTATGTAAACTTGGAGTTGGTAAACAATACTTTTGAAAAAGATTTTAAATAAGTTTGTAAAACCTTATAAGTCAAGTATTAAAATATAAAGGATGATGGATAAATGTGACACCAAATTATCTATATATTGGGGAGTCAAGAGAGGGCATGCCAGGAGAGAAAAGGGCATACCGGAAAAGGAAAGGGGCCGAGAGAGAGGGAGGCAGGAGACAAAATGAGAGAAAAAGAAGGTATGGGAATGAGTTGGGAGAAGAGGGAGAGAGATGGGGGGAAGGGAGAAGGTGTGCGAAAGAGAGAAAAAAAAGGGACATGGGAAAGAGCGACAGAGGAGCATGGATAGAGGGATGCATCGAGAAAGAAGAACCCAAGTTAGAGAAGGGCTGGGATAGAGAGAGGGGGTTGAGAGAGAAAATAAATCAGGAGTAGTATTACCAGATTCATGTTTCAATTCGGTACGTGGTACGAGTTCATGGTTTGTGGCTTGATCGATTTATTTATATAACGAATAGTTTTATATATATAAAAAATAAATAATGCAGTCTGTATTTATTTATTTTTTTTTATATGAAAAAAATATTCTTTATATAAAAACTATAAAGACCGCATTATTTATTTATATAAAGATTCATGGTTGCAAACGATAATTTCAAATTTGATAGGGATCATTCATCGGTTTTGTATATGAATTAAGATCTTTCCAATTTGAAATAGAAAATTAGGTGGTGTTTACTTAAGGTTTTATAAAATTTATTAGTAATTTCTCCTACCAAAAAAAAAAAAAAAAACTAAATGTGTTTAATTGTGATTTCTGGTCATTATAGTACAACTTTAGAAATTCTTCAATTCAATATATAGTGTTTTGCTATAGTGACTGTCCAGCAGCCCGTGCAATTTGGCATAGCATAGATGCATCTGCCAATTACCCTTCCTTTTGGAATAATAATCTAAAGGAATGGGTTAGCAAGAATCTCAAAGCGATGGTTTGATATATTCAGAAAAATGGCCAACTTGCTTCTCTCTTGCCTTGTGTTGGAATTGGAAGTGGAGAAATTGTGTTTGTTTTGGAAGGAATGTTGAAATCCCTATCAACCCTGGTAACTTTATCAGAAACTGTGTTGATGTAACATAGGCCGCAATGTATGAAAGTGGTTCTTCTGGAAGGAGCTTTCTTGATCAAAAGGACAGGAAGGAAGCATTCATTGGATGGTCAGCACCTCCTATGGACTTCTTTGTTCTCAATATAGATGGGGCTTCAAATGGTACACTAGGACTGGTAGGAGCAGGGGCTGTAATCAGAGATAATCGTGGGATCTTCATCAAGGGATTTGCTGCTCCTCTTGGGTTATGCTCTGCATTCGAGGCAGAATTAGCTGTTGTTGAGATTGGCCTTGAGATGGCAAAGGTAATGGGCATACAGAAGCTACACTTACAGTTGGATAATCAAGCTTGCGTGGAGGCTCTAAGAATCCAGTTACCCAAAGAGGGGAGTGCTGTCATATGTTAAATAATTGTCACAGGTTATTAAATTGGGAGGGTTGGTCTGTTTTTGTTTTTCTTTGTAATCGGGAAGGGAATAAAGTGGCTGATAGTTTGGCTAACTTAGGTGAAGTGGTCGATAGTTTGGCTAACTTAGGTGTCATCCAATCGGATTGTGTGATTTATTTCGATGTTCCGCCATCGAAAATAAAGCACCTACTCCATGAGGATATCGTAGGAGTGGCCTTGCCATGAATGGTTGTATCTTAGTTGTTATTGTGTACGGGTTCTCCCATATTTGCATAAATAAAATTACATTTTAAAAATCTAGAAATAGAAAGTATCTTTTCCTATTATGCATGGTATTTATATACACGTGTGTTGAAACGATTTCTGATTTCTGCTAATCGTTTTTTGGCTTAAACGTCATTTTAAAACAAATTATTTGTAAATCATTTTAAATGAACATAGGTTAATTATTTTTCATACGATTGTGTTCCGTTTTTATTGAAAATTAGATAACGTGATAGTATCCTTTAATACATTATGTTTAATTTTATATACAAAAACTTATTATCACTCATTTTTAATTTTTAAAAAATAAAGAAGCTCAAATATTGAGCTCATATCCATATTCAATAGAAAATCAAATTATAAAACAAAATTATTAGTTACATAAAACGAATGTACCAAATGTACTTAAAATTCAAAATACTTGCATTCGATAACAACACAACTCTTAGATACTAACATTCGCAACCAATTTTTTTGTATACTTTATAGGATTAAGCATTTATCTACATCCAGTTTTTGTGAATTGGGCTATCGCGGCATTACTTTTACACATTTGTTTATAAACCATAGCAATAATTTTTTCTGCTTTATTACAATAGCAATAATTTTTAACAATAACTATAGCAATTACTATTACACGTTTGCTTATACTACAAATTATCAACACTCGGTTCTACTTTATTGGGCTATCGCGCGCATAAAGAGTTTAATATCAATTCTCAAAACTAATCCTAAAACCCAACCTACAAATGAATCGAATTAGTAACACATTTATTATAAACTAAAATTAATAACACTCTATTCGTGTTTATTGGGCTATCGCGCGCATCGCGCGCGATGGCTCAACTAGTTAAACCAAAAGAGGAGAGAGATGAGAAAGGTGTGATGAGATGATGATAATGATGACTGTGGTGAGGGGTGGCGGTGCCGATTTCCGGCGGGTAGAAGAGCAGCCACACAGTCCTGAGCACCATGTGAGGTGGTCTCACGCAAGGAATAAAGAGGAAAGAGAAAAAAAGAAGGAAGATGAGAGGGGAAGGCCGTGGCTGGCTGGGGTCGCCGGCAAGTGGCCGACCAGCCAGCTGACCGTTCTTGGCGGCGGCAGCAGCGTGGGGTGTGGAGGTGCAGCACTTGGAACCCATGGTGTAATCTAGGGGTGTTCAAATCCGGGTACCCGGGATTTCGGGTACTCGAGAACGCAGTTACCCGAGTTTTCGGGTAGTCAAGTACTCGGCCTATGACCCAACCCGCGAAATCCAGGTACCCGGATATCGGGTACCCAAAATTCCCGGGTCGAGTCAGAGGGTACCCGAAAAAAAAATGAAAATCGATAAAGTTTAATTCTTGCATTTGAAAGCATAAAAAAAAAATACATAATTAAAATTCAACTAAGGGTAATTAGAATAAAGTGAGAAAATAAAAATCAGTTGCAAGTTGCAACCACAAATATAAGTGTTGAAAAGAAGTTGGTGCATGTGTGTGCTGCTGCTGATGCTCTGTATGCTGTTGTTATTTTAATTTCCTGCTACTTTCCTGTTTTTTGTCTTTTTGCTCTGCTAGCTGTCTTGTGATAGCATTTTCTGTTTGGTATTTTTATAGGATGATTTAGTGGACAGATGTCATGTTTTGTAAGGACGGTGTGTCCATATATATTGGAAAGCTGCCTTGTAAGGAAGACATAATGAATGAAAGAAATACCCTAAAATATGGGAATGATCCTCTGCAAGTATAGCCGTTTTTCTTGTTGAAACATTTTTTCTGTCATTATGGTATCAGAGCCATAGGCTCAATTTTGCCTAAAAATCCAATCTTTCTTTATTTTCCATATCAGATCTAGAAGAATCTGTTATTAGATTTAAGAAAGCTTTAATCTTTGAAGAAAATGGTAACAACCATAGATGCTACCAGTCCACTATACTTACATCCCTCAGATGGAAACAATTTCCAGTCCATAGAGAAGCTTCAAGGATCCTCCAACTTCAGGTCATGGAAGAGGTCTATGGAGATAGCTCTGGCATCTAGGAGAAAGTTGGGGTTTGTGACTGGAACTTTGGTGAAGGATAGCTCAGATGCTGTGAATGCTGAGGCATGGGATACATGTAATAACATGATAATCTCATGGATTTTGGGGGTCTGTCTCAGAATCAATTCGAAAGTCCATTCTGTATGTGAGCAATGCTCAACAAATCTGGAACCAACTGGAGAAAAGGTTCTCTCTTGTGAATGGTTCAAGAAAATACAAACTCAATAAGGAGTTGTATGAAACTAAGCAGCAAAGCATTTCAATCAGTGAGTATTACACTCAAATGAAGACAATATGGGAGGAATTGGAGTCATTAAATGTTCTTCCAGCTATTGGAGAAGTTAATGCTGAAGTCGCAGCCTTTCTCAAAGCATTGGGAAAGCAGAATGAAGAACATAAACTCTTCCAGTTTCTCAATGGACTGGATGATGCTTACGGGCCTCAAAGAAGTCAAATCTTGATGATGAGAACTCTCCATCTGTTGAAACAGCATGTAGTTTTCTGGAACAGGAAGAATAACAGAGAATGATTCTCACTCAGCCTAAAGAAGAACCTGAATCTCTTGCTATGTTTAGTAAAGGGATAGGGGGAGCATGCACTGTATGTGGAAAAAAGGGACACTCAAATGTTAAATGCTGAGAAGTGATTGGGTACCCATCTGGTCACCCTAAAGCTAAGTCACATCCACAGAAAGACAGAGGGAAGAGTGGTAATGCAAGTTCCAAATGGAACAAAAGCAAGAAAGGAGGAAGCAAATCTGCTGCAATTGTGCAGAGCAGCAATCAGAGTGATTCTGGATTCAGCAGTACTAGCTCAGGCAACCAATTTACTATGCAGCAAATAAAAGCTATGCTCAGAATGATGCCCACAGCATCAAGGCAAGCTGCCCCTAATAATGATGATGAGTTAGAAATCTCATATGCAGGTATGGTGTCCTGTTATTTTGCTGAATCTATTACAAATGGCTGGATTATTGATTCTGGTGCATCAGACCATATGACTGGAAATTTAGATAACATGCTGAATGTTGTTAAAAGTATAAATGAACCCAAAATTAACATGCCAACTGGTCATACTGCAAGTATAAGTCATATTGGGAATGTTAGGCTTGAGAATGGTCTGTCTCTTAAGAATGTGTTGTATGTTCCATCATTTAAACATAATTTGCTGTCTGTGAAAAAACTTTTGCAAGATTCAAAGTGTAGAGTACAATTCTATGCTGAATATTGTATTATTGAAGAATTACAGTCAAGTGTTGTAAAGGGAATTGGAGTGATAAAAAATGGGCTATACTATCTTAAAAGTGAGCAAATAGAGAGTGTGATACAAGAAATGAAAAAGGAGATCATGAGTAAAAATGGAATCAAAAATGGTGAGAAGAGTGCAATGACCACCAACACTTACAGCAATGTTCCAAGCATGGTGAAAAATGCTCCTGTCTTGAGTAGCAGAACATTGTGGCATCATAGACTAGGGCATGCTCCATTTACCAGGATTGAGAAGATTCATAATCTGAAGGGTGTGAAATCAAGCAGCTCAGATGTGTGTTTGACATGTCCTCTGGCAAAGTTTACTAAACTTCCATATAATCTAAGTGTTTCAAGGGAAAAAGAGCCATTTGAACTTGTACACTTAGACACATGGGGACCATATAGAGTTCCTACTAAGGGAAAATACAAGTATTTTTTAACCTTGGTAGATGATTACTCAAGAGTAACTTGGATAAATCTGATTGTTCACAAGTCAGATGCATTCAAGGTGATAGAGAGCTTTGTCAATATGGCAAAAACTCATCATAACATGAAGGTGAAGACTATAAGGAGTGATAATGCACCTGAGTTTGATGATCAAAAGTGTAGACCCTTCTTTGACAGATTTGGGATTGCACACCAAACATCATGTGTTGACAGGCCTGAGCAGAATGGAAGGGCAGAGAGAAAGCACAGAAACATACTTGAGATGGCAAGAGCACTGAGATTTCAAGCTGGTCTT